GAGACAGCAGGGTGGCCAGTGAGAGAAGAGAACAAAGAACAGTTGGAGTGGGAACAGTTGAAGGGTGCATTGAGTCGGGCTCCAGAAACTCCTGCAAGGACTTGGCTTTTACTCTGAGGAAGATGAGAAGCCACTGGAGTGTTGAGCAGAGGCGTGGTGAGATTGGTGTGATCCACCTTCATTTTCCCAAGGTGCTCCAGCTGCTCTGTCAGTAGTGGCCCTTACATGGGCAAGGGCTGAAGCAGGGAGACCAGAGAAGGTGCTGTTGCAATAATCTAGATGAGAAAGGATGGTTGTAATAATCTAGATGAGAAAGGATGGTGGACCAGGACAGTAGCGGTAGATGCGGTGAGAAGCTGTCGGTTGTGGCCATGTTTTGAAAGCCGAGATGTAGAAGTTGCTTGGTGGGGGGGGAGGGAAATTAAAAAAATTTCAAAATGAAATATATAATATTCTTTATGTCAAAACAGCAAATACCAATTCTATTATATAAATAGATGCATGTAAATGTATAGAAAAATATTTTAAGGCTACTTCGCACAATATTAAAATATCTGAATGGATTATGCTTTGGAGATACATACATGATAACTATTTCATAGGATTTGATAGTGATTCTCATACTGATGGGCAGTCAAAATTTTTCTAATATTTCCTTATAATAAATAAAACCACGATTAATATTGTGGTATGTTTTGTTTTAAACTACAAGTGATTTTCCAGAACAGATATATATTTTTTTCTCTTTTAATTTTTATTTAAAATTGTGGGGTACGATTCAGAGCTAGGTATACAGATATTCATCGTGCAGGTACCCTTATCGATGAGGTGTGTACCCCCATCCCCAGGCAGAAATCAACTACTGTCAATCCTGCCTCCCCAAAGTCTACTGCCACTTTCAATCCTTTTCTTATACTAATGTGGTAGTTCAAGGTTCACTCAGAACAGATATTGAGAGTAGAATCACTGAAACATAAGGTATGCAAATTTTGTCTGTTAATAAATATTATTAAATTTTAAACAAAAGTGTTCATAGCAATTCACATTTCTACCTATGATAACTAGTTCCCTCATGTTTGTCAATAGTTTCTATTATCCAGCTTCAAATTGTGACGTACAAAGGATTCATTGCTATTTTCATTTTTTTCCTGATCAATAAAGAAACTAAGCATCTTTAAAAAAAAAAAAAAGAAGTTGCTGACAGTTCCAATATGGGTATGAGTAGAGGAAACCAAGGATTTTGGACTGAATAACTGGAGGAACGGAGCTATCAACAAATACTGCAGTCTGGAAACTTGAGGTTTTTCTCACCCCCTTGTTATAGGAAAGGATATAGACGGCAGAAAGAAGACAGTGGGAGAATGGGTTGAATATTGGGAATCTTAAAGAGGAAAGGTCACACAGAAGAGGCATCCTACCCTGTCGAGCAACAGCAAAGAGCGTGGAAAATCCCTGTGATGACGGGAATAAAGAAAATAGCAAATGACAATTATCAATAACTCAAAAAATAACAGTTGCTGGAGAGGGTGTAGTGAAAAGGGAACACTTCTACACTGTTGGTGGGAGTGCAAACTAGCGCAACCTCTGTGGAAAGTAGTGTGGCAATTCCTAAAAGCTCTAACTATCAACTTCCCATATGACCCCGCAATCCTCCTACTGGGAATATACCCTGAAGAACTCAAGTCACTCTATCAAAAAGATACCTGCACACAAATGTTTATCACAGCATTGTTCACAATAGCAAGAACCTGGAATCAACCATGCTGTCCATCAAAAGAGAACTGGATTTAAAAAATGTAGTACATATACACGATGGAATACTACGCAGCCATAAAAAAGAACAAAATCATGAATTTTGCAGCAACCTGGATGGAGCTAGAGTCTATAATACTGAGTGACCTCTCACAGAAACAAAGATCTGAGTATCACATGTTCTCACTCATATAGTGGACCTTGAACATCTATCGTAATACTATAAGAAAGGGATTGACAGTGGTGGGAAACTATGAGCGGGGGGAGAGAGGAGAAGGGAGGTGGGATTAACGGTAGTAAATATCTGTCTGGGAACGGGGAGACACCCTTTATCAACAAGGGTGCCTGAATGAAACATTTTGTGTACCTAACCCTTAACTGTACCCCACAATACCAAAATAAAAAATATTGATAAAAAAAAAAAGAAAATAGCAAAAGGAGTGGAAGTGGCCTTCAAAGAGCAGTGCCACGGCTCACCTACAATATGTTACCTTCCACACTTTCCTGAAGAGGCCAGTGCAGTGAGTCTCCTGTTGGGGACAGGGGACGCCCCCATGGGTCAAGCCTTTCAAAAAGCTGTAACTCTTTTCTTCCTTCTCTACACTGTAGTCTACACTCCCTTCAGGTTTCATGGAATATTGTACGGCAGTAGACAATTTGTGGCTTGCATTTATTTTTTTATTCCAGTTGAGGTGAAGATCACACAGCAGAAATCATTTTGAAGTGAACAATTGAGTGGCATTTAGGACATTTCACAGGGTGGTGCAACTCACACCTCTATCCAGTTCGTTGTTATTACTAAATGGTATTTCATAGTACAGATGCACTACATTTTGTTTTTCCACTCACCTGTGGATGGATATTTTGGGTTGTTTCCAGTCTTTGGATATTGCGAATCTATAAATATGGTTTATTTCTCTATTTGTTTCACTTTTCAAAATAATTTTTCATGGCCACGTCGAAGACATTTTGTTGCAGAGGTTTGCACATCTTTCGTTAAATTTATCCCTAAGTATTTTATGTTTTTTGGAATGTAAATAGAATTGTTTTTGTAAATTTTACTTTTCTAATGTTTGCAGTTAGTATAGAATTTAAATATAATGAAGTGTTTTTATGGTTTCTGACTCTTTATTTTCATAAAACACATTTTATACTTGTAAGGTTTTTAATATTTACCTATATTTTCTTTTGCTACATTTATAAATTTCTTTTTTTTCAACATTAGAATCCAGAGTTTTATTTCTCTGTAAAAATGGTGTTTGCCGTCATTATTCTGAACAACTTCTGATATAGAGCAAGCATATTTTCCATGCCTTAGTAAACTGTCTTACTTCTAAGTTTGGATTCAACATTTTATTTGTGCCTTCAATGTCATGATAGAACTCTAAGAGTACCTTTTTTTTTTGAGTTGGAGTCTCACTCTGTCGCCCAGACTGGAGTGCAGTGGCCGCTCCCGGCCACCGCAGCCTCGACCTGCTGGGCTCCGGCGATCCTTCCGCCTCAGCCTTCCGAGTAGCCGGAATTACAGGCACGTGCTACCATGCCTGGCTGATTTTTTGATTTCTTGTAGAGATGAGGTCTTGCCAAGTTGCCCAGGCGAGTCTCGAACCCACGGACTCAGGCAATCCACTCACTTCAGCCTCCCAAAGTGTGGGATTATAGGCTGAGCCACCGAGCCCGGCTAAGGGTACCTTTAATGTGGAGTTTTTCACCAGTGTCACTTCCTTGGGGAATCTTTATCCTTTTCTTTCTTTCTTTTTTTTTTTTTCATTTAGGTTAATAAGTTTGCCTTCACAATGTTTCTCTGGCTGCACATCTAGTCTCTAGAACAACAGAAATCTCAACATTCCCACATCACCTATTTCTTTTATAGCTTTATTTGCATTCTATTTACATTTTGTTTTCAGTGTTATCATTTGATATTTTTGCTGTATGTTCATCCTTGTTGCTCCATACCCTCTCAGTTCTGTTCTTTAAAATGCATGAAGGTTTATTGAAGGAGACAAAAAAGAAACATACTGGGAACTGCTAGGCTTCTACCTATTTTTCTTTTTCTTTTTTTTCTGAGTAGCTGGGACTACAGGCATGTGCCACCACGCTAGCTAATTGTTTATATTTTTTGGTCAAGGTGAGGTTTCTTTAGCTGCCTACGCCAGTCTGAAACTCCTGGGCTCAAGGGATTCTCCCATTGTGGCCCGCCAAAGTGCTGGGATGACAGGTGTGAGCCACCATGCCTGACCTGAATTTGCCTTTTTTTTTTAATTTTTAATTTTTTTATTTGAAAGATGTGGGGTACAATTCAGGGTTAGGTCTACCAATGTTCGTTATGTAGGTACCCTTGTTGATGAAGTGTGTCCTCTGTTCCCCAGGCAGATTCCTACTACTGCCAATTCCGCTCCCTGTCCCCCCAACCCCCAGCAATTTCCCTCTGCTTCCAATCCTTTTCTCATAGTATTATAATTGTTCAAGATCTACTTATGAGTGAGAACATGTGATACTCAGTTATTTCTTTCTGTGATAGATCACTCATTATAGACTCTAAGTCCATCCAAGTTGGGCAGCTCTTATAAAATAATACCAACAGGAGTGGTGTCATAGACATGTTTATTCTAAAATGCTAAATGAAAGGAGTAAGATTTAGCTTACGCACGTAATATGATTGCAGTTTTATAAAACTAGATCTTAAAATTGTGTCTAGAATTAAGACTAAAATGCAATACATAAAAATAATAAAGTTATCATTGAATGGTAGATTCTATAGTGTTCCTATAATGCTATAGTGGAAGACAGTATTGACTTCTAAAAGACGCCACTCATAATTATTGTATAATAGTGATTTATTGTCATTTTATCCTTGCAAACATGACCAGAATTGGAGGTTTGCCATTCAGAATTGCACACATAAATGTTGTAAATAGGGCCAACCATTTGAGAAGTGTTGCTTACTTTGAGCTTAGCATGTTGACCTTAGAACTTAACGGTACAGGATCTGTTATTAACAGGACTTTGTTTAAAGTCAGGATTCCACAGAACAATTTCACAGATTCCTTAAATTCCTAGTTCTTCTTTTCTTTTCGGTGTTTGCCTTCAGATTTTTATGAAAAAAGAAAATTTGAAGTTTAAAGTTAAAATACGGGGCAAGTCCCTCAGGTCCCCTCCCGCTGTGGGAGCTTTTCTGTCCTCTCAATAAATCTTGCTTGCCGAAAATAATTAATTAATTAAATGACAGTACAACGGTCTCTTTTCAGGTGTTCCGTTGCCTAAAGAGGACACCATTTCTGCCCCCTTGATCTCCAGCTCCCCCGTGAAGGAAGCCCGGGACTATGAAGACCCCCCGAGTGAAGAGGATGATAAAATCCAAGAAGAGCCCTTAACCATCTCTGAACTAGCCTACAACCCAAGTGCCAGCCTGCTCCCCACCCCTGTGGATGACGATGAGATTGACATGCTCTTTGACTGTCCATCCAGGCTCGAGTTGGAAAGAGAAGACACAGATTCGTTTGAGGAACTGGAAGCAGACGAAAACGCCTTTTTGATTGCTGAAGAGGAAGAGCTGAAGGAGGCTCGCCGAGCATTGTCGTGGAGCTACGACATTCTGACCGGCCATATTCGGGTGAACCCGCTGGTCAAGAGTTTTTCCAGGCTCCTTGTGGTGGGCCTGGGACTGCTGCTTTTTGTATTTCCCCTGCTCCTCCTCCTTTTGGAGTCAGGTATTGATCTCTCCTTCTTATGTGAAATCCGCCAGACACCAGAGTTTGAGCAGTTTCACTATGAATACTACTGTCCCCTCAAGGAGTGGGTGGCTGGGAAGGTCAACCTCATCCTCTACATGCTGGGTTGCTCGTGAAGTTAATATCTCATATGACTAAGGGCTATATTCAATACTAGTAATTTTTTTCCCCCGGTAAATGCCTGGTTCTGAATGGTCATGGGGCTGTCAACAGGTATACCTTACTCATAACTGATTCTTCAGACCCTTAAGTTAGCTTTCCATAACTCGCTACCTTTAAATAAGTTTCAATCAGATGTAGTTATTTTAGTTACAGGTCAGGAAGATGACCTTGAAATAACCAAAAAATACGTTTATTTTCTATTATAGTGTAGACACACTCTTTATCTATTATATCATAATACATAATATACTGGACTGATTAGATTTTCCTATTTCTAATAGTTGATGCTATTACAAGCCAAAAGGTTCAGAATCAGAATTTTAGTAAAAACCCAAGAGAAAGTTTTTGAATATAATCCTTAGTGAAAACGATGTCCTCTAACCAATGCCTATACAATGAAATTTATGCTGGGTTTTTGGTTTTGTTTTTTTAAAAATATTTTTATGTGTTCAAACTATTTTGGTAAATTTTTAGCAAAAAAAAAAAAAAAAAAAAGAAGAAGCCTCCTGGAGTTATTTACATGTACAGATTGTAAGACTAATGCACAAAGGGTATATCAGAAATTTTTTAATGTTTTGGCGCTGGTTTGTTTTTTAAAATATTTTTGGCTGGAAAAAATCCCATCATTTGTTATTATCTTCACTGAGGTAGAAACTGAGTAGAAAGACACTGTAGTAAGTAAGCTGCTGAAACAGGTAACGGACCTGGAGGACGTTGAAATGGAGGGTATTAAATGGACACAGACTGGTCCATTTTTCAAAGTATTTGGACAAGAAGACTTATTCTTTCATTTGTATTCTGTCCATATCTTTTGGCTGGGAAAGCAGAATGGTTTTAAAAGAAAGTGAAAATTTAAAGGAAAAAAATGTAAAAGATATGCTAGTTAACTGCATGTTAGTGTACATTAACCGAAGAGTGGAAGCAGATAGGAACTGGACAAGTGGAAAGTGAAAAAGAAAGAGTCTGGTGAGGCTGGTAGGCAAGAGGTGGTAGGAAAGATTTACCGTTGTATGGAAGTGATGGTGACGCAAAGGACAGTGCCCTCACTGTCCAAGTTAATATGAACTTGTTTAAGTGGATCTAAATAAAAGTGGAGAAACTTTAGGTACATTTTTTGGGTCCCTCATGCCATTTGTTGTGATTATGTAGAAGAAACTTCAAAAGCGTGTTTGTATGTATGTGTGTGTATGTGTGTGTGTGTGTGTGTGTGTGTGTGAGAGAGAGAGAGAGAGAGAGAGAGAGAATCAAAAGCGTGTTTGTATGTGTGTGTGTGTGTGTGTGTGTGTGTGTGTGTGTGTGTGTGAGTGTGAGAGAGAGAGAGAGAGAGAGAGAGAGAGAGAGAGAGAGAGAGAGAGAGAGAGAATGAGAATAAATGACATTTTGATGAAAGCCAATGATCATCCTTTGTGGTAGTCAATAGTCAATATATTCTTTTCCTTTCTGGTTCCCGTAAGATCTTAACTCATTTATAACTGGAACTTCCATTGAGAAAATGGAGGGCACTTATCAGAATCAGATGACATATCATTTCAGCTTGGGTAAAGTAGTGACATTACTCCCTAATCAGACAGTAGAGGGGACAAATGCTCTAGTACCTTCCTTCATACCATTAGATCTGTGACAGAAGGGTCTGATGTCTTCCCCATGCAGACTACTTCCCAACACCGTATTCTAAGGGAGAAAGAAAGGAATCTAGAGCTTAATGGCACGGGGCACAGAATTTCTCCATGGATTGAACACGTTTTGCTGCCTTCATTTATGAAGATACAGGGCCCACGTGAAATCTTTCTCCGACTCTAGTGAAACTCCAACCCTATCATTAGCACAGTTTCTAAATTGGGCATTCCAGTTCTTCTCGGAAGTCAGTTCATGAAGCCTTCAGTTGAACAAACATTAATGTATATTTGCTATTAAGTTTGCAGGGAATTTTTGTGCTTTTATTGATTTATTTTGCTTTCTTAAATAGAGTGTTTAATACCTGAAATTTGACAATGATATAGAAATATATCTTCTATCGTTGGAACCCTCACCAGTTTCGAATGGAAGTTTTTATTTTTCCTCTTTTTTTCTCATATGACTTTTTTTTGGAGTTGGAGTCTCACTCTGTCACTCAGACTGGAGTGTAGTGGCCGCTCCCGGCCACCGCAGCCTCGCCTGCTGGGCTCCGGCGATCCTCCCACCTCAGCCTTCCAAGTAGCTGGAACTACAGGCGTGCACTACCACGCCCGGCTAATTTTTTGATTTATTGTAGAGATGAAGTCTCGCCAAGTTGCCCAGGCGGGTCTCGAACCTGTGGGCTCAGGCCATCCACTCACCTCAGCCTCCCAAAGGCGCGGGACGACAGGCTGAGCCACCGAGCCCGGCTTCTCATATGACTTCTAAGTCATCCTTTGTGGCATAAAAGTACTCTAGCATTGTCTACACAAAATTAGTCCCCCTTTCTTATCATATATCATATATTTTTTTCTTGAGATTCTAACCATGACAAATCATCTAGCCCTCACCTTTCCAAAATAATATTAGATAACATATTTTAAATCGTGGAAGTAGTGATATTTTCCATAGTAAAGTATTTGAAAAAATTACAGAATAAATATTACATGCAATCCAATTGTGCAGATTTATATTAAGAACTAATAAATTTATTATTTTAACATTTCCAGCTAACATCGTTTTTCTCTTAGGCAGACACTTCCTTGTTGAATAGAAATGTTTTCAAGTGAAGGAGTTGGCAGATTAGGGTCTGCTGAATTTAAAAAATAGCCATCCAAAGTTACACTGGAATCCTGAAACGCCATTTGCTCGGCATTGAATTAGAGTCTTCTAGAAACATCCATTTGAGTTTTGTTAGAAGATAGTCACCAGTTGCCTAAATCAAATGAGGAAGAGACTGCTTCCAAAGAGGGACAGTATATAATATAGTGAGATACAGAGTTCAAAGCAAGAGTGTGAGTATATGTATATTCCATATTATTGATACATGTGTGTTACATAATGAACCTGTATATATGTGTGTCTTTGGATAGACACATGATATGCCCTTTATTCATAGTTGTGCTTATTTTGCCCCAATTGAGGAATTTATGACAAGTTATTGTTCTTTTTTCCCTCTCAGATATCATGGTGGGTAAAACTCACAGCCTCAAAGGTTTAAATTTTCCATGAAAACTACCATGTGTACATTTGTGGATATACACACACACACTTATATGGCAAATACATATACACACAATCTTGTCTTTAGTGCTAATGCAAGCTGGGTCATGAAAACATTGTAGGTAACGTACGCATTTCTGTCTGTGCTTGAAACATATTGTAAAATGTATGTATTTGGAATATATTTTGTGGTTTGTCTAATATTTATAATCACATCTCGGGGTGAATTTATGAGTTGATTTCATTAAAATACTAGAGATATGGGGGCCATGTTACTGTGATTGGAGCCTTACCTTTGTATAGTGAAATTTGCATTTCTATGTCAACATCCAGATTGTTTTATATGTTAATATGGTGACAGGAATCCCTAATAAAAATACTCTGGGGTAAAAATAATTTTGCAATCATTCAGTTTATTTAAAGTAAAGTTGTATAGTCAGCCTGTAGAAAACTACAGAAGGATAACCTGTAGGACTGTGAAATGAGGTCAACATAGAGTGGTGATAGTATTTTTAAAAAATCCCAGGTAATGAATGAGATTAACCCTTTGCCAAGAGAGGGCTAAAACCAGCCATCCAGGCCCAAAGTAGAAATATTGGCACTGGGAATGTACTGAAACATAAAAAGAAATATATGATCTAATTAATGATATTAAGATAACAGGAGAATTATAAATGCATAGAAAAAAATATAAGAGGGGGCTTCTAGACAGGCAGGTGGATGAATGTCAGGGTGCTAGAAATTAATGTCATCACCACTGGCCAGACCAGTGGTGATCACTCCTGCATCAGACTCTTAACTCTGTGATACTTGCCATTAAACTTCTCTTTCCATCTGTTCACGGGCCCCGGAAGAATCTTATGATTCCACTTCTATTCTCCTCTCCATACAACATAGCCTTGACACGTCTTCTGCATAGGTTTAACACAAAGCTAAGAACTCCACATATGACAGTCAAACTAGAAGGTGTTACTTGGAATGAAACAAAAGGCATGGCTCTCTTTATTAGTTGGAATACCATAGCTGTCGAGTCAAATTGGCCCTCAGCTATGGTGGCCTCTTAAATCTGTCAGGTTCTTACTCAGCAGTCCTTAAAAGTGCAGGTTTCAGAAGATAGGCAAGACAAGGAATTAAATGATTAGTGTCCAGATTTGAGGTGAGTCATTGGATCCATAGTTCTGGCTCCAGCAACTCTAACCAGAGCCTTTGTTTGGATTAATGTCTGCTGACCCCAAAGGCTCACACAAAATGGCACTTGGGCAGTTATTCACTGAGCAGTTAGTTGAGCTCCTGACCCAATTCCCCCCCCGGGGGAAGCCTTTTTCTTTCATTCCTACATTTTCTGCTCAGCCAGATAGAAGAAACTCTACCACCAACATTCCCAAGCTGGAGAGAAAGTACTGGGGAGAGGGTTCCACTTCTGTGGTGACTTCTGGGATGGTTGCGTTGATGGGGCTTAAGTCGCTTTGGGCTGTCTTTCTCTACTGGGCGGAGACAATATGCTAAAGGTACCTGCTTACTTGTCCTCCTGCTTCTTCTCTCTCTCTCTCTCTCTCCCTTTCTCTTGGACCTGTTTTGGGCTTCCAGTCTCCATGCAGTAAACAGACCCAGCAGGACCTGCCCGTGGTGAGCTCAGCCAGGACTTGGCTCCCCATGTTCCAGCTTCGGTCTGTGACTGGGTGGGTAAGTTCAGTGAGCCCCACCCAATGGGCTCCACTGCCATCACTTCAGAGAGGAAGAAAGGAGCATCACGCAGGCTTCACATCACAGCTGTGCTCTCCAATCCATCAATAAAGCTGGTTTTAGCCCTCTCTTGGCTACTGTGTCTATTATCTACTGGGAACTGGGGTGGTGGAGGAGATGGTGGTGAATATTTGGGATCTCTGAAACGTCTAGTATAAACCAAGGAAGGAGTGGAGAAGGATGCCTCTGGCTAAACTTCAAGCATCAGGGGATGCCAGCCATTGATATCAGCGCTCACAGGCCTTGCCAATTGGTGAGAGAACTTGGGAGTCCATGTTAGTGAAAAACAGAGGGTTGGTTGGAATGACACATCCCTATTCTTTACTTTTAGCTGATGATTACCCCCACATATCTCTTTGGAAAGTGAACCGAGTCCATTAGCATGGTTTATAGAGGAAATTTCTTTCTTTCTTTTTTTTTTTTGAGTTAGAGTCTCACTCTGTTGCCCAGACTGGAGTGCAGTGGCCGCTCCCAGCCACCGCAGCCTTGACTTGCTGGGCTCCGGCGATCCTTCCGCCTCAGCCTTCCAAGTAGCCGGAATTACAGGCACGTGCCACCACGCCCGGCTGATTTTTTGATTTATTGTAGAGATGAGGTCTCGCTGCCCAGGCGGGTTTCGAACCCGGGAAATTTCTTAATCAGCCAAAGATATACTTTCTTTGAGTTTCAATTATTGAAACATGCCTTGCAAATTCCAGCAGCTTTTTTGGCTAACACCCATGCCTGGATTCCTCTCATCCAAATCATTATGATTAAGATAGTTGGTTCTCCAAGAAGACTACCCTTCAAGGGTGAGAACATACTGGCAAACCAATGTTCGTTTTTACTCTGACAGCCACATCCTTCATGAGAAGTTAAAAACTCAGTGTTCTGGTTTAAACATCAGTCTCCCGGAATTTCCTTAGTGTGAATCAGCTTCTTCCTACCTCAGTCATCCTGAGCTTCCTGACACCCCTGAGCTTCTGGTTCTACAAAGTTGTGAGCCAGACCCCGAACAGTGGTGGCCACCATAAAGGAACTTCTCCCAAGACATAAGGATAACCATATAATTTATCATCCAAACCAGGACTCTTTTGAGAATGAATAAGAAAGAGAGAGGAGATTCATCTCCCCAAGGTAGGGGAGGGGGCCAAAGCTAGGAAACATGGCGGCCATAGCTCAAGGAGCCACATGGATACACCAGGGTTTAACAAAGCAATGGCCAGGGAATATTTTAAATGAAGCTTCTGGCATTGGATATTTAATGCTACATACTCAATTTGTTTCCCATTAGTAATGCTTAACTTCTTGTTTAAAATGGGACATGTGGAGGGTTAAAATGATCCTGATGCTACCTTTACCTCCATATCTCTGAATTTGATATTTATCAGCTGCACATACAGAACATTAATAACCAGCTTAACTGTGAACAACTTATTCACACTAAATACACTCAAAACCAAGTTTCACAGAAAGCCAACTTTATCATTTATAAAGAGGAGTATCAGGCTTTTGGGCACTTCTTGCTGGATGCTCCACACACACTCTTTTCAGAACATAAGCTATAATGAGAACCAAACACTATTAATGAGTAGAAAGAATCACAGCTTGAAAGCTACCTTCCAGGGAAGTCCGCCCTAAACAGACCAGATGCTGCCATATTGCTGCCTGTCTCCGAAGGGCTGGAGATGCATTATATACATTTTTCTTCAAACCCCACATTTTTGCAAATTTCTTGTGGTAGAGACTGGAAGCAGATCACCAAAACCATTTTCTCTTCATTTCTGGAGCAGAATTCGATTACACTTCCAGCTATCTCCTGTCCCCCATGTAGTTAGGTGTGACCATATTTCTGAGTTCTGGCCAATGGGATTTGATAAGAAGTAATCTATATTGCTTCCAAGACTTAAGCTAGGTGTGAGCCTTCATCTGTCACTGGTCCAACACCTACAGTGACCTTTAAGTCACCAGTTGAGGATGATGGAACTTACAGCAACTTGAATTACTAAATGCCTTTGTGGAACAGAGTACCTATCTTAGTCTGTTTTATGTTACGATCACAGAATACCTGAGACTGGGTAATTTATAAACACGGAAAATTTATCGGCTCACTGTTCTGGCGACTGGGAAGTCCAGGATCAAGCAAGGGACCACATCTGGTGAGGTCACAACAAGGCTGAAGATATCACATGGGTGAGAGAAAGAGAAGTGGGGCAGGAAGGGAAGGGGTCCAAACTTATCCTTTTATCAGGAATCTACTCTCTTGATAATGACATTAATCTATTCATGGGGACTCTGCATGATCACCTGTTAAGTCCCATCTCTCAACACTGTTTCAATGGAGATTAAGATAATAGAGAAACAATAGATAAATTCTACAAATTCAAAAGTTGATTCTTTTGAAAAATGCCAATAAAATTGACAGACCTCTAGCTAGATTGATCAAGATAAAAAGAGAGAACTCAAATTACTAAAACTAAGAATGAAATAGAGGATATCAATACGAAACTTTACAGAAATAAAAAGGACTATAAGGAAATACTATGAACAACTGTATATCAACAATTTCGCTAACCTGAAAAAAAAGGAAAAATTATTAAAAGACAAAAACTAAGAAGAAATGGAAAATTGCCATAGATTGGTAACAAGTAAAAGATTGAATTAGTAATAAGAGATCTTCACACAATTAAAAGTGCAGTTTCTGATAGCTATACTGGCAAATTCTACCAAACTTTAAAAAAACAAATACCAATATTCACAAACTCTACCAAAAAACAGAGGAGGGAAAGGAACAATTCCTCATTCATTTTGAGGTCAGTATGGCCCTGAAGAAAGACAGTTTAAGAAAGTAAAAGTACAAATATATTTTATAAGCACAGATGAAAAAAATTATCAAAATATACAAGCAAACAAAATCCAGCAACATATGGACAGAATTATATTCCATGATCAAGTAGGATTTATCACAGGAATTCAAAGTTGAAGTTGCTTAACATATAAAAATCGATCAATGAGATACACGATATAAACAGAATAAAAGAAACTAAACGATCATTTCAATAAATACATTTGACAAAATCCAACAGTCTTTCACAATAAAAAAAAATTAAGTGAACTAGAAATAGATTTTTAAAATTCTCAATCTGATAAAGGCTATAAAAACCCCATAAATATCATATGTGATAGTTTTTCCCCTAGGGCTGGAATAAGTAAGACAAGAATATCTCTCTTTACTATTACTATTCAACGTTGTACTTCAAGTTGCAGACAGGACAATTAAGAGAGAAAAAGATAAAAGGTATTAGGTTGGTTGGAAAGGAATTAGTAAAACTATCCCTCCTATAACATCATGTTATGTATAGAAAACCTAAAGAAAATCAAAAAGCAGTTTTCGAACTAATGGACAAATTCAATAAGGTCACAGGATATAAGACCATTATACAAGAATCAATTAAATTTCTATATACTAGCATGAAACAGTGAAAAAATGAAATTACTTGCAATACCATCAGAAACAACCACAAAAAAATACTTAGCAAAAATAAATAAAAGAAGTGCAAGACTTATATAGTTAACAAAAAAATTATTTAAAAATTTAAAGACCTGGGGAAACACCTCTTATCAACAGGGTGCCTGAATGAAACGTAATTGTACACCTAACCCTTAACTGTACCCCACAAAACCATAATAAAAAATATTGAAAAAAAAATGTAAAGACCTAAATAAATAGAAAAACATTCCATGTTCATGGATTAGAATAATTAGTATTATCAAGATGGCAATACTTCTCAAATTGAGTTTCAGATTCAAGGCAACACCTATCAAAATCTCAGCTTTCCACTTTGTAGAATTTGACAAGCTGGTTCTAAAATTTCATATGGAAATTCAAGAGATCCAGAACAGCTAAAGCAATCTTGAAAAAAACAAAGCTAGAATACTCACACTTCCCAACTTCAAAACTTAATGTGGTGCAATCATGAGGATGGATACATAGATCCATGGAACAGAATTGTAAGTCCAGAAATAAACCCATGCATTTGAGGAAAACTTATTTCAAAAAAGGTTCCAAGACAATTCAAAGGGGAAAAAACAGTCTTTTCAACAACTGATATCCACATGCAAAATAATAAAGTTGGACTCATTCTTCACATCATATACAAGTTAACTCAAAATGGATCAAAGACCTTGATGTAAGTACTAAAATTACAAAACGTTTAGAAGAAGCATGGAAGTAGATCTTTGTGACCTTTGATTAGGGAATAATTTTTTAGATATTACAGCAACAGCACTAGTGACAAAAGAAAAACAGATAAACTGGATAATAACAGATAAATTTATACTTCAAAAGATATTGTCAAGAAAGTGAAAACATGATCCACAAAAGGGATGAAGCTGTATGTAAATCAAATATCTGATAAAATATTTGTATCAATAATATAAAAAGACTACCTACTTTTCAGTATTAAAAATCATAAACAACCCAGTTTCTAAAATGGGGAAAATATCACAATAGATATTTTGCCAAACAAAACAAAACAAATGACCAGAGAGCACACGACAAGATGCACAATATGATTAGTATTAAAGAAATCGCAAATCAAAAATTGGAATCCTTATGTACAAAGGAGACACCCCCAAACCTGTAATTATCCTTTGGGGGGTAGGCCCCTTATAGTCATTCAGAAGTTGTTCCTCTTGATCAAATGGTCAACCTAAGTTTTTATCTGGAGGTTCTGAGATGGTTGCATCATGATTTGTGAAAGCAATGTCCTGAGTTGTGGCAAACAGCTGACTGATTCTTCCACCATGATAATGCACCTGTTCATACTATGCTGAGTGTTCAGCAGTTTCTGACTCAAAATGGCATAAGCCCCAAGCCCCACCCTCCCCCCCATTCATCTGATGTCATTCTGAGTGACTTTTTTTTTAGTTTTCCAGGATGAAAAAACTCCTCAAAGGGAAAAGTTTTGCTGATGTGGAAGAGGTGAAACAAAAAACGGCAGAAGCACTAAAAGACATCAAAACTGACCAGTTATAAACCTGTTTTGAGCAGTGGAAAAAGTATCTGAATAGGTGTATTGCGTCAAATGG